AAAGACTTTACCCTCATTGAGCGTGTCCAGCGGGTCGCCACGAGAATGGTTGCCGGCCTCAAGTCCGTGGACTACGAAACGCGCCTCGCGATGCTTGATCTCTTTCCCCTGGAGTACCGTCGCCTCCGAGGGGACCTAATTCTTACTTACGCCCTGTTTGAACAAAGCTTGGCAAACAGGTTTTTTTGACCCGACCCAGCAAACACCCGGTGGTGACATTGTAAGAAAATTTTCAAACTCAGGGCACACACATTCATTAGACAAAATTTTTTTTCGGGGAGTTTTACCGTTGACCCAGCAAACACCCGGTGGTGACATTGTAAGAAAATTTTCAAACTCAGGGCACACACATTCATTAGACAAAATTTTTCTTCATTTCGGGTAGTAGCTGCGTGGAATGACCTTCCTCCGACGGTTGTACACGCTCCTTCTCGAACCCAATTTAAAGCACTATTAGACATTTATTTATGCGAATCCTCGCGCTGGCGAGCATACTGCCCCGCGCTGAGAACATAAAGAGCAGTGCTACACCCTTTTTCACTTGTGCCTTTCAGGTGAACGACAGCCACTGACCGAGAAGAACAAAACCGACCCGGGAGACTTGGGCAAAAGCATCGATCCTGTGTATCAATCGGTGAATCCCTGAAATCCGTGAAACGCCACATATGAAACTGTGCTTAACCAACAGGAAGCACGCGAGTACATTCGGATAAACGGCCTTCGCATTTTTTCAAATTGGGTACCAAAGTTTAATCCAGTTGTCGAGATATTGACAGTATTTGCGGTGAATCCTGGTGACCAAACTGCTGTCGTCGTTTTTAGAGAAATAGCACGCACCATAAATCCGGTAAGCGTAAGCTTGTCTTCTGTGAATTTCGCCCTTTGCTCTGGAAAGATTGCTTGGAATTTCACTGCTGAACGTGACGTTGAGTTTAGCCTAACAGTTCAGGTGAGGACTCGCTGAACTACAGGAACATACCCGAACTGATAGACTCAATCCAGTATACCAAGTGGATGTCACGTGAGTCTATGACCAATCAGAGCTCGCCTAAATTCTAGCCCGATCATCCAACCACTCTTGGAGGTTGGGAGTGTTAGCCGTTACGGCGTAATTGTGAGTGATGCGCCGTTCTTGCCCTGGTTCCCAGCTTACACATCCTCTGTGAATTCCGCTGACATAGATTTTAAGTCAAGGGTTCACTTGAAGTGACCTCAGTTGCACGCGGACCCATCTTCGCGGTCGTGGCGCATGTGTGGGCTGGGCTTCCAATATAATACCCCATGGATTTTCCTCATTCGGGCTGTGATCAGAAGTCTTCGGCGGCATAATCACGTACCAAGAGGCGGTTTGTTATCTGCCATCAGTGTTATCTAACGCATGGGGACAAACACGACTTTTAGTATCACAGCATTTGACACTTCAACCCTACAAACTACGGTAGATATTCTCCAGGGCATTTGCTGCATGACCCGACTCGCAGTTGAGCAGCAGAATGATGGTGTAAGAGCGTGGCGCAAAGTATATGATCAAACTTGCGCGGGAAAATGATTAGCGTCGTGGAGTCCACCTGCAGGCAAGTAGCGCGACGCGAGGAGAGAAACGGTGCATATGAACGGGAGCTTCTTGTGCATCAATCAGACCAGTCCTTTCCGGTTTATTTTAGACATGTTTTTGCATTTGCCGATCACCAAATCTTCAGTTTTTTTATATCTAACTGTAGTTGTGCTCGGCTAGTTTCGAATCCGACCGTCTTTGCGATGGCTTTGTGCCCGCCGCCGGAAATACATACTTGACCACTGTGTTAGCACCGTAGTTCGAAGCACCCGATGCAGCAACAATTTCTAGTCCTGGATTGCAGTGGGTGCGAAGCAAGTAGGATTTGGTTGTCGACTTAATGATTTCGAAAGCGCGTTGATGTTCTCCCCACCATATCCAGTTGTCCTTGAGAAGCAGCTGGTTCAGTGGGCTTCGAAAGTGATACATGACTGTCAAAAATGACTAATATTGCCTGGTGAGGCCGAGAAAAAACCTGAGAGACGCCAAGTCTAATGCGCTGAGGGCCGTCTCTAGGTGTTTGACAAATGTCATCTCAGAACCATGGCTCATTTAAGTTGGTTTCGACGAATTCAGAACGAGACTGTTCGGTTGTGCAACTGGAACTCCCACCACTATCTGGGCTGGTTGGATCATTCCTTGTGCATGGCGAACTATCGTCTCCCGAAGGGAGTGCTATTTTATGTCCCCGATTCCGAGTGTTGTAAACATAGAGGCGACCAACCGGTGATCTGACAGAAGGGAATGAAAGAGATTTTGAATAGTGTGGATACTTTCAGTGCAACTCACCTTCGAGGATGAAAATCACGTGGTCCTCACTGCTGCTGGTTAGAGACTGTGCAATACATGGGTGCTTTTTTGATGTCAGTGGCGTTCATGTTTCCTGCTTCTACCCAGAATGTCTTACTGAATGCCTGGGGCTGTAGCTGCCTCGGAATGGCCTTGATATAATAGTAAATGAATAATCGTCCAGCCGTAGCACCATTTCGGTGTCTAGCTGCCATACCACTCGAAAAAAAGCACGAGGGCTGTGGTACTGCGAGGTCGCCCAAGCCCAGACAAGAGAAGTCGAGATGCAGAGGTCGGTTTGGAACCACAGACATCCCGTGAAATTTTTGGCTCATTAATTCACTCGCAAAAACGTCGACTGCGAAGGTGGGCGAACAAGCCTACTGCGAGGTCGCCCAAGCCCAGACAAGAGAAGTCGAGATGCAGAGGTCGGTTTGGAACCACAGACATTCCGTGAAATTTTTGGCTCATTAATTCACTCGCAAAAACGTCGACTGCGAAGGTGGGCCGAACACGTCGAAAAAAAGTTCCGCTGGCCTCCTGCAACAGCCTTTGGAGACAGTGTACACATGCGAATGGAATGTAAACCTTGATCGCCCGTCGGAAGAAGAAATAAAGTGCGAAGTATCCGTACTGAAACGGGAGAAAGCACCAAGACCTGACTGCCTGTATCCAGCAGTCTTCAAAGCAGAGTTCCTGTTGACCCATCTGGTGCTATATGGAACGAAGCGGTGCCTTCAGAATGGGGTATGTCGACAGTTATTCCTGTCTTCAAAAGGGGTACACGGATGCTGTGTGAAAACTACCGTGGTATCAGCTTGTTAGCTGTGACAACAAAGATGCTCCCTAGCCTTATACTTCGAAGGCTGACTGAACGAAGGGAGAGACGGTACCGTGAAAACCAAGCACTATGTGGAGTGAAAGTGTCTCTCATGAATTCTTGACCCTCCTTAAGGTGCTGTACGCCAACTCCCGTGAAGGTATACGCGAAGCTCTCTTCCAAGTTCGTCGCATCATATAGTATCAGATAGGACTGTCCTCTTTCCTCTTCAACTTCGTCAATGATGCGATCGTAGAAGACTCACTAACAGCCTCTAACGCCTGTGGGGTCGAAGTGCTCCCGGCGCGTCCGCTCACAGGCATCGAATTCGCAGAAGACATAGCTCTTCTTGGACGCAATGTCGTGGTTATTCAAACAATATTAAATAATCCAAATAATTCTGCCTTACCCTTTGGTATGCGCTTCACACCTGCCAAGTGTAAAGTGCTACTGCAAGACTGTGGGCTGAAACCCTAGCCTCATGCTTACGAGTAAACCGGTTTGGGTAGTAGACAGATTTGTTTACTTGGGCAGCTGTATCAGTCCCCGTGGTTTCGCGAAAGATTGTGTTTCCATCCGGATTTGGAAGGTCAGAGCCACTTTTGTGTACCTGCGTCGCCTGTGGCGTAGGCTTGACATCAGTTTATCCGTCAAGGGTGCGCTCCATATTACTATATGGATTAGAAACCTGGACACTGCGCGTCGAGGACGTCAAATGACTCAGTGTTTGACCATCGATGTCTTGTGGGAACTCCGGTTGGACAATGCTGAAGTACGTCGAATGGTATTCGGAAGAAATAAAAAACACTCAGCTGTAGCATTCTTCTGGTGCCTAGCTGCCATGCCACCCGAAGGAAGCACGAGGGCTGGGATACTGCTAGGTTGCCCAGGCCTAGACAGGGGAAATGGAGAGGCAGAGGTCCGGTTCGAACCACGGACCTTCCGGTCAGTAAATTCGCGCTCTAACCACTTGGGCCATCTCGGAAGAAATAACTCACCCTTGGTAGATGAACTGATCACACTGCATAGGTTGCGCTGGCTTGGCTACGTGCTGCGTATGCCAGTCTACCGACTTCCTCGAAAGGTTCTTTTCACACAATCACGTGGAGGGTTGAAGAACCAGAGGTGGTCAAACAATGACTTTGCAGCGAAGTATGAAAACCATTACCAGCAGACTCAGCTTCGCTAATCATTGTCGTCTTCCTGGATGGGGACTCCGAGACGGGCCACGTCAATGGTTGGAAACATTCTCAGACATGACCCAGTCGCGCCCTCAATGGCACTCTTGCATTTAAGCTATTACCTCCAATGCATAGCTCCCTTCCCAATTCCTCTGCTTAACAGTTCCCTGACAGTGCTGTATCTACGCACGAATTTATCATCTCCTGCCTCCAATGCGCAGGTACCACCTCCCCAAATCATCGGTGAGCGAAACTGTGAAAGCCACAACCACTGTACAACAAGTACGCAGTTCTTACAACGGGCATTGATGATGAATGCTGATGACAGACGTTCCGGTCAGTAAATTCGCGCTCCAACCATTGAGGGCTAATTTCCTTCCGCGTCCATTTTCATTCTTTTTTTTCACAATAAGGCTTTGAACTAACTTACAGTTGTGCGCCAGCAACGCGTCAGTGTCGAGCTTCTGGGGTTTGAAAACCGACCGCGTATTGTTTATGGTTGTTATTTAAGACGGACATGCGGAAGTTGCAGCTGAATGTGATGCGCAAGGCAACCATTCCTAGTGCTGGTAGCTGAAGTGGGGGGCCTAGATAGGAGAGGAGGGAATTCGTCAGCGGCAGCTTATTTTTGCCTACCCGCCCTGCTTTAGGCAGCAGGTAGGTTTCTACCCTGACGGTACCATGCCACCACGTGACTGATCTGGTGCGACAGCATTCCCACTCGTAAGAATCCTGGTTGTACGCGAGCTGAGATACTGGAAAGGCGCTCACACCTAGATAGGAACTGCACATGGTAAACCAACAGTAACGAGGGAAACACCACTTACCGAAATGCGAGCAATTTGTGGAGTGTTTGCTATTTTCTCGACCGGGCTTTTTCTCGGGCTTATCTTGAATGCGGACTTGAGTGCATGCGCGTAACTGCTGAAGGTGGTAAGTGGCCAGGGGATCATGGCCGTATAGTCCTCAAGTAGTATTCCTGTATTAGAGATATCGCCTTCAACACATAACTGCCCCACTTTTGACTTTTTTTCGGCTCCGCTCAGTACCAGCAAACCGGTTAGGAGTTACCTCCAGCTTCTGGCAGCTTTATCTCCCTTTCCCTGTCTCAATAAGCATAACTGGACTGGTGTATCTTTCGTTTATGCTTAGCAGCGAAATACACAACATGACCTGAACGATGTGTTTAGGTAATTTTTGTGGGCTAGTAAGATACACAGTCCTGCCTCCTCTTGGTGTTGCCCACTGATGTACTTCCCACCGATGTAGTTATATATTCAGTGTTTAGGTTTGACTTTAATGTTTTGGGTAACACACCCCATACTCTGCACCTCCGAACCACCGACCCAATCTGGGCTTCTGGTGCATTGCTGAATTTGACTAAGGAGTATCTTGTGGCAGAAATATATCGGTTATTTAGAAGGTCTTTCTGTTCAACTTTCATCCCTCGTTTTCGGAATTTTGTCTCATTTCAGTCTTGAACAAAATGGATGGCTTTAATAGCAATGTTGTTGAGGTTAACAAATGCGTTATTCTCAACAAAACCGTGCAACATTTACTTTCGGATGTATTGAAATTCATCAAGGAGGAAATGACGCACCTGACAGAACAAGAGGTGAGAATATTCCCCATTGACAGTTACACCAGTGTAGTGTGAACTTCGTTCAAGCTGCTCCCTCACAAATGTGCCTGAGGGTTATTTGCGTCGACCGTTCCTAAAATTGCGTTCCGGAGAGGTGAATGCTGTTTCTGATCATTTTATTTTCAGTGTCCCCCACTTAACGTCGATGCTGCTGCCAGACAGCAACGGAAGGAATATAATTTAAGCGAAGTCAGAGCTCTGTGCCTGAAAAACTGTGAGTTAGAAGGCGTGGCGCTCCATTTACTGAGTTATTGAGGTACCGACTTCGTCCTGTATTTAGTTGATGCATTTTATAAGGCGGTATTAGTCTGCGTTATCTTTAGCACCATGGAAGTCTCTTGTCGTAACAGTCACCGTAGCTGTGTGTATGTTTCAAGTAACTGCCTTACTTCGCGGTCTAGTTATTCACTTCAGATTTTTTTGCACCAATTTATTAACAATGATTATTCCATGCTGAGGTGTTTTACAGAACAAAGGAGTAAATCATGCTTTAATGGAAGCCTAATTCATCCTTTCATGTTCCACTGAATAGTATCAGAAGACCCGAGTGAACATGATCAACCATTAACAAAAGCTTCTGATATTGTATTGATCTCCTACTAGAAGCTGGAAAAAGAGATTGACACTGTGAAATAAATTATAAGGGAAGTCGGTTCAGTATGGCCGACTCTACAGAACCGGTTTTTGTCTCTGTCCAACCTCAAGTTAGAAAGCAGATTGACATGGGACTGTGTGCGTTGGATATTGGGCAATTTAGACCGATACCGATAATCTGACTGAACCTTTTATCTACCATTGAGAAATGTTCGGGCTCTGACTTTACTAAACTTGTCAAGTTTTTGTTTTCGCTGTTCCTCTGAGTTGCGTGACAGAACACATTGAAAGTAGTCCACTACTGATCGGTTTAACTTTTTTTGGCAACTTGAAATTAGTTTACCCTCCCATGCATTTCATATACCGCTTATCCTTTCGAATCGTCTACCACGTGCTGTGTTTATTTGTTTATTTGTTCATTTGTACTTTGTCTTTTCGCCATTCCTCTTTACAGTGCTAAAGTCTGAGTGGATGTCACTCATAAAGAGTGTCGGACGGTGCGCTTTGGAGAAGAAGATTGAGAAGCTGGATTCCAAACGCGAAGCACTTTTGTCCAAACTATCGGCTCTCAGTATTTCACATGCAGTCGCGACTGATGAAAGCGAAGTAATACAGAAACGAAAGTCCATCACCTCGGAGGTTCTAAACGATCTGCGGGAAACAGAAAATTTGCTCCTTCAATTTCGCAGCATGCACGAAGCTCCTTCACAATGGCTCACCTCGGCAATGGCAGACGCAGCACTTTCCAGGGGATCTGCAAGCCGAAGAACGGATCTTACAAGATGCAAAAGTATGTGGGAAAAGCGCATTTATCGGCGCTATCATGGAGCTAAATTCAAGCGAGAGTACACGGCACAAACGTGGGTCAGTCTGCTTGCAGAGGCTGAACAGCACTTAACTGCAGCCGAATGGTCTGAGGTATCAATTCATACAGTAAGTTCGTTTCCAACATGAGCGTTGCTGTCAGCCCATCAGTTTATCACCTATAGACCGTGCACCATAGGCACGGCGCTGCTGTGGCAGTCTTGCAAGATTTTCATGTTGTTCACGACCGTTGTAAAACCTACCGGATACTAGCAGTCACGTACTCAGAACTCAGAAGGTGTACGGTATATTTGGGTATATCATTCGATTCCCTAACAGCCGGCATATTACTTCATTCAGTGGATGAGAGTAACCGTGCTCGATAGACACTTATTCACCGTTTGGAGCTGTTGTTGGAATGAGATAACTTTTGTGACAGAGATATCACAAGCACCGAATGTTTAGTGTTTCGTTGAACTTGGTGGTTCTCCTCCGGCATGACTTTTCAAAGTCATCCCTTTCTGACCGGAACGACACAATGAAGTAAACGGGGTGAGACGTATGAAAATTCGCCAAAGGAAGTTAGAACTGCTGATTTAACTACTCTGACGACTACCTGATATTCCTCACAAATCGCAATCTAGGACGTTTAGCTTATACATTGGCCGTCTTCAGCGCTCACCTGTGACTTCATTTAGAGCGCAACAGATAACCAAATGCACCACTTCGAAACGTGAACTAAAGCGGATTAGAGCGATCAAGGGTTCGGGCCTCCAGCGAGGCTCAACGGTGGACATGAAGGCAAACAAAGAATGTGCGGTGAAGGAGACAAATCTTAAGGCCAAACGTAATCTGTGCGATTCTAACGCCTATGACGCCTGTGGCTTAGTGGTTTGTCATGCGCTTGTGGAGTATATGCTACTTTTGCTATACTACAATTTACTCCGGCGATTCTTTCAAGATGCTGTTTGTTTCATAGTCTCTTATTAATCCGGATGGTTGTTTGATTACAACATAGAACACATCCCAGAGAGCCAGGTTAACCCAGGTGAGGGCTAGCTTGGGGCTTGGAAATGTAGGTGCGTTAGAACGGGCGAGTTAGACCACGTTCGGCTCCACTGGCTATAGTGACGGTTATGTTCAACAGCTCCTCACCACTCTGCTGTAGTACAGTTCACGTTTGATTGCTGGTTGTGCAAAATCATTAGATACATGCTTGAATTGATGGCTAAATAGTACTGAGAACACGGTCTGCGTCACGAAATTCCGTGACAGCCATATCGAAGGTTACGATGATTCACCTACTGTGTCCTCGAAAACTCAGCTGAAGTTAACGATTAAAGTAGAAACCGGTCCAAGACAGGCCCGATCGAATCTGCATCTGCGGACTTAAATGGTTTAGGATTCTCGACTACCAGTGTCTCGCGCTGAAGGAATTTAATGTTAAGCTTACTCAGACTACTAATTCTATCGCCAAAGTTTCTTGTAGCCAATTTTCCAGACACTATTTTGTCAATAACTACTACGGATTTGACATCTGGTTTGGGTGTTTCAGAGCTTGAGATTGCCCAGTGGTTGAGGCGCGAACCTGCTATAACTGGACGCTCCCTGGTTCGAAGCCGCCCTGTTCATCTCGACTACTTTTCTGTCTAGGGATAACCTAGTGGTATTACGGCCCTCTTACTTCCTTCGGGTGACATGACAGCTATCATCGGAAGGGCGTTACAGCTGAATGGTTCAACGCCTTACTAACCGGCTTCGGCCCGACTTACCGCTATTTTGAATGATTCAACAACTTCAACCACAATTAGTAGAGATATTGGATCATGGTCAGTCAATTGAACTCTGTGGAGTGTGCAGTCGGCGTTTGTGAGCCCGTGAGCATGCCCACACACATGGTTTCCCTCAAATACGCTTGATACAGTGGGTATTTACGACAGGTATTTTGCGTTGGATCTGTAGAACGAGCATCGTTCAGCAAATCTTGTGTTGTGTTGTTGACACCCATTATGTTTGCGATTGCAGAGGGTCAGTGGGTTCACTTGCATAAGTCGTTATCGGTCCAACTACCCTCCTTATGCTGCCCGTTATTAAATCGTTGACAGTGTTACATAGCCCTACGTTCGCGTTGATTGCCAGCCAGAATCGATCTCGCATGATGCTTTGCTTCAGTGGAACCCTGTCCAGGTCTTAGTAACGAAAGGAATTTTTATATAGAAACACCACATCGACGGAAAGTAACTGTCCTTCACAAAACAAACTACTTTTTCAGGCACAGCCTATTTTGTGACTCATCTGACCATCGTTAAGAAAGGCTGCATGCTCCCCGGTCCTGTCGATGTTCCCTGTAAACCAAAGATAAAACCTTATATCATGATGGTTTTGGTGGGGTGATATCGGCTCACTGATATCCAGCCAACAATTGTTTCTAGAAAACTTGAGATCTCCGAATTCGGAAACGTGAAAACTATTTCAATAATCAAAAGGTAACTTGTTGAATGTTTCTAGAACTTCCTTTGCTACACAAAACATCTCGAGCGTAATGCGGGACAGCAGAACCTTAGTTATTTCTACAATCAGGCTTTGATATGACTTTTTGGATATGGATCTTGGTCCACTACCATTATTATTGGAAATAACTTTTCTGTTCACCACAAATTCAGTTGGATACTCTCAGTTAGCTTGCATTCATTGCAGTCGTGGTGGTCTTGTTAGGACTTATTCGGGACAAACAAGCTCCGTTAACGAGTCTACCCAACAATATAGGGTGTGGTTTTACCAACTACTAGACCGTCGCAGTTTCCAAACATCACAGTTCTGTTAGCGGTGAACAGGATTGGACGATTGCCGTTTGTTTACACACACCTAATGACTGCAATCCAGCGGGCCGTCGCAGTTTCTTGCATTGTAATGCAATAACGCTTTGCACAGTACAACTCAAATCAAAATACCTACAAATGGGACAACCATGCTAATTGATCACAAATATCCAAGATGGTTAACACATCTGTTATCCATAGCTGTTCCCCCATGCCCGGTTTCGCTCTACCGCTCCCTATAAGATCTAATTGCTCGTTTGAGGAAGGTGACTGTAATCCACTTACTGTTGTGGTGAAACGACTTTTCTGTTTGTGGTTCGTTTTTAAGTGCTTTTTTGCTTACTTTTACTGTTCAACAGTTCGAGAATTCAGTCTCTCCAAGAAACCTACAGCTCTTTTGGCACCATCGAGTCCGTCCCAGTTTGAACACAACTGCGTGGACTGCAGAAGAAGATGAAAACCTTAAACTCCTTGTGGACCGTTTCGGTCAACATGGAAGGTGGGAAGAGATAGCAGGTGCACTCAACACGGGTCGCACTCCCTTCTCGTGTATACGGCGTTGGCAGGTGGCTCTCAATCCCGAGTTCAAATTAGTGAGTTTGGTTGTGGCTTGTGCTTCACATTTTGGTGTATCTTGTTCACTTTGGATTGAAAATTATTCACTTTTTATACACTACATGATTTAAAAGGAAGTTTTCAACGAACCTATATAACACTGCTGCTATTCGTGGATTTTATTTTGATGAGCAACAAATTTCCCTTGAACGGTCCTTTTTAAGAGATTCTCTTAGGTAACGGCTCTAACGTAATGTGGTGAAATATTGGTAACTCGGGTGAGTTTATTGGTTGTTGATCGGATGGTTGTGGATCTGTTCGCCGAGTTTGGCAATTGGCTTGCAAACGTTTCGTCACCATACGAGGAGACATCATCAGTGCGCAGTTGGGTGGGTGGCTCTAGCGTAATGACTACGCAATCCTACCCTACCACCAATCTTACGAGGTTGGATGCATCTCTAACGCGAACGACTTCGGTCGTTCTTTGAAGTCCTTTAAGAGGCTGGTAACGCCTCATGAAACTCGTGACTCGCATTCAGACGTGAGCTGTCTGTATGGTTTTTCACATAAAGTACTGGAAATGGTGGTCCACAGCCCTAGTCTCATTCATATAAATAGTGAGCTGTGTTTCAGATTTTATAGTCCATGCCTATTCATCCATGCTGTGTAGCGTAAATGACCGGTTTTCAGTGTTCCAGATGTTCGTTCCGTCTCGGTCTTTTTTGTATGTATTAACGGAGCCCCCAAGCCCGCGTGCACTTCATATCTGTCTCAACAGCTACGTAGGTTCTGTCCCGAATGGACAATTGAGAACACCCGAGAGCGGCGCAGTTTTCGACGCTGGACGGTACCTGTCCGATCAACTTTTGGTGCCTGAATCATACCACGAACTCTAGATTAGCAGAATAATCGATTGCACTGCGTGGCCTGTTTAACCCTACTTCCAAGTGAAGGGGTCCTAAATTCCAACCTGTTTGTCGTTCCAGACTGGATGAGAGACTCTCATGAGATGTGGCTGCGCGTTCACGCACTGTAGACGTTGACCACAGTAACAGTCGCGCATGTTTTTCTGGCTTACTAGGCGGCAACTCTATCGCTTGTTCAATTCCGATGACATCATGGGTCACCCGATGATTGTGATAAAAGGTGTGCTACCTTCTGCTTAACCATTTATCGCGGCATCAGTAACAGTCGACCAGGTGGACCCCATCACCAGTTTGTCCCCACATTATGACTTGTCTAGGTAGGCAAACAATGCCAACCGGTTTTCACTGCCTAAGACAGTCTGAAAGCCAGTACAGCCTTGGGGACAGTCGAAAGCATCTCGTACACAGATGTGACTATCTAGATTGAGTAAACGCATTCTTCGGATTCTGCAAACCCGCTGGGGTTCACTGGTTGTTTCCAGATCAGATGACTGAATTCCACCTCCATAGATGTACTCATTATGGATATCAAAAATGCCTGTTCTCCATTGTTCCCCGCCGTGTTGGACTCTGATGATAAGGGTGGGCTTCCCGCATAAATATCGAATAGGCATCAACAGCATTTGTATTTTTGGGGTGGATTTTTGTCTCAATCCGTAGAATTTTATTTTTTAGTAAGTTGTATCACTCGAGTTTCTGGCTCTTTGCAGCGTGCCTCGGGCTCTGAGGCCTCGTGCCCGGTAACTCCAACACAGAATTATGGGTTTGCCAAAAACTGGCATTCTGCTTGACCCTAACTGGATGTGTACAACCTAGTGAAGCTGGAGAGCCAAGGGTTTTGCACACAGAAATCAAACTGTATATTAGTGGTCAGATTTAAATAACTGATTTTCGCATGCAGATCAGCAGCGTGATGATTGTCGGTGACGGCCCGCCCGATAAGGGTAAGTGTTTCTCTCACCGGCGGCTTCTGGGGATGGTTCTGGAGGGTTCTGGCAAATATGAGTAGCTTTCGTGAATGATCATCGTTGATTCCACTGTTTGATTTTTATGCTCGTGTTGATGGCTCCACCATACTGAAATGCATATTATAATTCCTTAATCCCTGTTGGGGGCTCCTTGGTTTTGAGCAGATGTTAGTGGGAAGCTAGGTATCAACCGAGGTGATAAATTTCTGGGTCCCGATAGCACGGTTACTGTGTGCGAAAATTGGGAAGTTTAGGGATCCGGTTAATGCCTATCGAGTATGGAAGGGATTATCCATCGGAGATATACATTTCCTCGTGGAAAGTGTGTGCTGAAACTTACTTAGTTCGGCAAAGACTACTTTCTTTACAGGTGTACTCCATATGAACACATGGCGTATGAATTTTAACCTGTGGTTCACATTCTTCGTAGCTTTATTTGCCGCTCCGTAAATTTCCCGTCATTCCATTTTACTCAGAACCGAGCATGGTCGGTCGAGGAGGACACAGCACTGATGGATATCTTGAAGCGGTTACTTGAGCTCTATCCACCGTCACTCATTGACTGGGACGTTGTTGAAGCCTTTCACACCACTCGCACCGCGTCCGAATGCAGACTACGTGCACCGGTTATTTGCTCCGCGTTTCCGTGTTCTTCAGTCACTTCGGATACTTCTGAATTACCAGTTGCACCTCGAGCGCAACCGGCTAATAGTTCGAACAGACTTCGATCTTTTTCAGCGGCCGAGGATTTGCAGCTTCTCATGGCCGTTCAGCGATATGGCAACGCCAGTGGACGCATGGGTGGCGGAAGTGGTGTTGGTATGGGCTCTTGGGCAGTCATTTGCAGTGCTCTGCCCGGTCGTTCCGTATGTGCGTGCCGAAACAGGTATTATGAACTTTGTGTGCAGTTTCAACCGTGGACCTACTCAGAAGATAGAAGATTGTACGGGCTCGTGCTCCAGGGCGTGAATTACGACAGCCAGGCTGACTTGACCCCTTTCTTGCGCTTAAGTGAGCACTTTTTAAAATGAGACTTACCTCGTTTGATTTGTGACGCTGTTTTACATTAGTTTTTGTTGGTAGTTGTTTATGTTTCTAGGACTAATTAAAGGCCTATGGCTCTACGGTGCAGTTATCTGTAATGTTGGTCGTTTTGATCAAACTAGACTGTGAAACAGGCGGATGTCAGGAACTAGATGCTTCAGGACTTATTGGTTTCACCAACCGTACACGTGCTACTAAACTAGATGCTTCAGGACTTATTGGTTTCACCAACCGTACAACGTGCTACTAATTAAAAGATGAAAAAGTGCTCCAGATCGCTCCACAGTGCTAGATTAGGTATTCATAAAATGATATTGTACATTTTACCGATCTGGCCCAGACTCATACTACGGAATGCTGACGCACAAGAACACCGGGTGTTCGCAATTCCAGTAAAATAACGGACGAGCCAGTTCATGTTTTACACACGTGTATTTCCTAAATTAAATTGTTGAATCACATTACCAATATGAATAGGCCTTAGTCCTTCAGCTTACAGGACTTTTACCGTCACCAACAGATTCTGCCTTACATTATTATCCTCATCGTCAGAGGCAGCAACATCAGCTTTGACACTGGTGTCTCACTACAGTACAACCAGAAAATTTGTCTACTTATGTTTCAAGTCGCGGAATGAAAAGAAGAGCGGGAGAGGGAGAGAACCTGGTGCTGACCTATCAAAAGCATTCTGAAGTGCCTACACATCCAAGCGCTCAATCAGGTGATCTTGAAAGAAACTGACGATACACGTCACTGACATCGATCAGCCGCTATTTCTTTCAGGATAACTGACGGGCACCCTATCTTGGATTGCGTATTGCGCCAACGATACCCCGACTACTCGTAATCTATTTTACGCACTTATGCTAAGTCGTACGTTGTCCACCTGGCGGTTTGCGCAATTCTGGAGGAGGTACAGAGAACAGCACTCGTCTCGGTAAATGGTGTTTCGACATTCGTAGCACATGACCGAGCCACCGGAGTTGATGGTGCTGCATGTTTTCCGCGATTGGAATACGTGCCACGTAACCAAACACCCGTTTTCCAATTACTTGCGCGGATTCGTTGATTAAATCCGACACCAATAGTGCTTCTGAGTCATCGGTTGTCAAAACCTGAATACACCTCACATCTGTCCGTAGAGGCTCGTCTCGCAGCTAAACTACAACAACACAGCCTAGTAGCCTAGTATACACTGCTCTTGAGACCCAATGGTATGCCTGTCTGATACCACAAATAATGCAGATTGGTAAATTTCATTCGAGCCTTTGAGATTTTTGGACTGACTTCATCAGATACATTTCCTTCTCCACAATCCCCAGTGATTCTCTTTGAATTGTAAGGGGTATTTTCAGAAACTGTACGTTCTGAAGCATGACATTGCCTTTTAAAGGTGCTAGGCGCATGCTGAAAGATGGTTAGAATGCACCTCCACGACCTTTGAGCTATACTGAGCTACTGAATTGTGCAATTAGATCGGTGGACAGTGATCAGAGTCGTATGCTCACCTGACCCTCCAGGTTGGGAGTTATAAAATAGGTGGGGCGTGTCCTTCAGATGACGCACTACTGTGGCAGTTTTGCGCCGACCACTGCTACTTTGTGGTGCCCTTTGAACGAAGCGCTTTGATTTTAAGATTCTAATCGTTCTACTCTCTGGGTTTGAATGCTTTTGTCATACCTCAGCCGGTGTATACCTCTGATTTTATAACATTCAAAGACGAGTTTTCACCAGTGTATCACTGTTCATGATACCACTTGCTTGAGAAACAACATTCGTCACTCAACAGCTTCTATCGCGAGAATTTTCTCTTCGGGTTCCTTATCCCTCCAAACCAAGACATATTGGCGTATCTGACAAGTACTGTACACACGGACTGTTCTTTTTGGCCCGACAGATGATCCTTCGTTTACTGGGATGTGAATCTGCGAATATTTTTGAAATACAGGAGAATCAGCACCACAAATAACTGGTGTGCATGTGAGCTGGTTTGTTTACGTTCATTTCTTGGTAGCACATGTTTACGTCGCGCTGTATATACGGTAACCGACGCGGACTGCGTAGTGCTCTTTTCTGACTAGCTCAAGCTGTCGATTGTATTGCAGCTCGATACCGCAACCTCCTTCCTCAGTTTCCTGGGCGTTCATTGAATGCACTCAGACAACGATGCCTTGTGCTGATCCGATGGTCTCGAGTGTGGAAATCACTACGTCAGATGGTCGCCTCAGTTAGTGAAGAGGGTGAGAAACCAATAGTTGACTCATCGACCATTCACGGCAGTAACAGTGTAAGTCTGTCTTGCAGCAGATATTGGTTTGTATTTTCATCCTTATGATTGCCGAATTTTCTGATTACAGCTGTGCTCCTGAGGGGATTGTTGATGTTTGTAGGTCCGTTAAAGGATAAGCATTCCAAGGCTCTGATTACTTACGCTCAACAGCGTTAACTTCTTAGCATCTTGCCACATCGTTTAATTTAGCTGAAAAATCAGACATCCGGACGGACTCTATACACAAACACCAACCCATCGCTGCGCACCACTACGCTCTCTGACAACGCACTGTTGATGTCACCTCGATTGGTGATAAAACGTTTGTAATCAAACTGCCCAGCTCAGCAAATAAGCCAACGACCACATATGGGTAAACTTTAGTGAAGTAAAAAAAGCACTGTGCTGACCGTATGTTATAGCTGAATCCCATAGTAACTTTTTAATTTTGTTGTTCATTTAAAAATTCTCGGACGATAAGAATAATAAAATATCTCTTTGTGAATCCAGGAGATGCTAATGAAGACGTTCAACCCTTGGGGCTGTGTGCACTAGTTTAGGTAACTATTGGGATGTCCTCACTTAAGGCTGTATTGGTGGACAAACCGTCTTATTTCCATCACGACATGTTACCTTGATGAATGCATAGCAGTCATCCGTGCGTGCTGTGGCTTCGGAGACTGGTAGCTCTTCATACTCTTCAGTATCTTTTAGTTTCCGGTCCCGACCACTGCTGAAAAACCGACATACACCATACAGATGTTTCGTCCCTTTTAGGACTTATCAGCTTATCACTTGGTTTCTGTTTTCAGACATCTGGTGAAGTGGAAATTAGTCTACTGTAGTGGTGTGCGTTGAAATGGAAGACAGACCAACTCTGGGTAATAATGCGTATCAGATTAAAGTGGTTTGGACGTGCATCACGCATGCTTAACAATCGCCCATCAAGAAAACCAGCAATCTCATTCAAAACAAACGCTGATGAAATTTCCACGGGAATCAGACAGTGATTTGGCAACGTGAAAAATGGATGCAGTCAAACGGATTTGTTAAGTCTCCACTCTTACACATTCTGTTGGCCATTGTCTCAGGGCTTATTGCTCCATGGTTGTATAGAATTTTTGGCGCCAATCCCTGCTGTTATGCTGCAGCTAATGTCTCTATTTTTAGTGAGGAGAGACAGAGTACAGATGTGTTGACGAACATGTCTTCGGCAAGGTCTTTTCAAGTCATACAATTGCAAAGGTTAAGAGAGCGGTGTTTACCATATTTGAATGAGTATGGTGTAAATGGAGAGGGAATCGAGTGAGATGACATTGGCTACCTATCAAAGGACCATTAGTTCAGGTCGCCAATGGGATGACTTGAGCTAGTCACTTCGGGGGTGTTGTAGTTGTGTGTTCAGCACACGGTGGATGTGTGGGGGGAGGTGAGTTGGACCATGGTAAGTACAACACACTAACAAAGCGTTTTGCCGACAAAGGATCGGGTCGCGATGTCGTATGGCGATAGCTTCAGCCACTGCAATTCTGCGCTGCTGTACTGATCTTGGTTGGTTAGCCGGCGCCTTGTAAACAACGCGGAAACTTTGGCTGGGTATCACTCGGCCAAAGAATGAAGGAACACAACCTACCCTGGCTAGCTTCTGGAACTAGGAGGACGATAACCAGCTCCGTAGTACAACATTTAGCTGACACTGCACACAACGTGATACCCAGCCAAAGTTTCCCACACATGCACCGTGTGCTGAACACACAACTACAAGACTTATCGGTTGTCAGAGTGACGGCGTTTGGGGATTTTTCACTGCCTGTGGACGCTACTTTCAACTGTTTATCAGGTTTGCAAAAAATATCAGAGAAAGTAACCTGGATGTGGTTTTTAAAGTCTCCCGGGAAGCATGCAATCCCGAGAGAGTTTGCTCGTTTACTTGGTCGCATTCCGTGTACAATGAAGCCTGTGCAGCTTGTTACGTTACGTAAGCTGGGACAATTATCACGCAAAAGAACACCGACTTTCCCCCTCCCTATAATTCATTCAACAGGGCGCCTTTTCGGAATTACGTCGGTTACTCATTTACTCTCCTTTTGCGACGCAATTCATCTCACAATTACGGGGGAGCGGTGTCTCAGATCCTGAGGCCGAGGCGTTCAGATTGGTGAGTTCCTCTTGCTCTTTGGTTTGTCCTATTTTCTTGCCGTGTATTATATTCCTGTATGACTCCATCTTACCCATCGTTTGCAGCTTACTACTTGGACAACCCGTGAACCACAGTCAACAACTACTGATTCGGAGTTTGCACAACTTCTCGCTGATCTCTCCTCCGGACTGCTGATTCCTCGTCCTTTGATATTCCACGGCACACAGCCAACTCGTGCGGTACAACCTTCTACAGACGAAGACAGTTCGCCACAGCCTCAAGAGGGTGTAAAGCAAATATCTTTATTGGATGCCAAGAAATTGGTTAACTATACCCAAGTAGGTTGTCTACTTGTAACGTTATATTTTGAAATCAAGATTACACTTTGTGAATGAAGTCATCTTACGCCGAAAATCCTGTAAGCACAGCATGTGTTCCATTCACATTGAGAATCACCAGCAGTGCGCATCTTATAAGTTCACAGGGAGATTCAGACTGGCAACCTCTCCGCTCCTAGTTGAATATCTTACCGTTTATCCATGAGAGGTTGATCAGCAGTGTGACTGATTCTCACCCAGACACCATATCGTTCGATTAGTGGATTCACATCAAGTCCTCGCCTCATTTCGAGTGGCGAAATCTCATCTCGTGTGGATTATTGTCCCCCCAGGCTATTGCGGTAGTTCCGTGCATTTTTTCACTGCCTCTGTATCATTTTTAACATTAAGCAGACTTCGTATTGATCTGACAGATTAGTCTCACTAACGACATCCCTACTATAAGGAATGGATCCTCATTTACGATGCTCTGGCGCATGGCTATTTTACCTTGAAACTGTGCACTTTTAGCACTGTCATATATACACATATATCCGCACAAAAAATTGGAGGGAAAAGTTGAGTATGAATAAGTAGTTTGTAAACGGGTTTGTGAGAACAAAGGTAAGTGATGCACGCTTTACAGTGAGTGTGGTTATGAACCATGTCTGCAAAAATTTCAGCCAAGTACAGTTGTCTTTTGTGCCAGAGCCGGGGAGTCTATATGGTCCGACAGATGACAATCTAGCTGTGAGGGCCTTCATGCATCTAGTAATTTTTTGGTCTCGGCATTTCTTTCACCATTCATCCGATTGTAAGAAAAACGCGCGCTGTGGGAGGCGTTGGGATGCCACTCTCAATAGATGTCTAAACCGTCGTAGTCGATGATGGTTTTTGCTGTGCTATATTTCGTGTTATTACATCCGCGAAATACGCGTCATTGCACCTTTGCACTACTTACCTTCATCTTCGTAGGCAACAATATGGTAACAATGTAGGTAATAACGTGAAGAGCCGTCTCATATATTCAGTTCTTAGAGGCCATGCTTCACATTCTTCTAGAAGTGTTGAACGAACTGACGCGTTATAAACTGGACCCTTCAGTGAGAGTCTGAAATCGCGCTTACATAAGCTTTGTTGGACATTTGGAAAGACTATCCTAGCTTTGATGATCCTCGATATAATTCCGGCATTTAGAGTTACGTCTGCGGATATTTTTCTCCCTGGGTACACAGAGCAATCGACCACTTCGAATGCTTCGTCGAGTGTGAAAAGCTTGATTGCAGATGTATATCAGTCCTGACTGAGGATTGGACGCTTCGTTGGTAAGAAATCCATTCAGAAAAGTCTTACTTCCGGTTTGAGACAGCCCAGAGTGTTCTGTAGAGATTGGATGACATCTCCTGTCAGGACAATACTCTGGTTTCTGAACCATGTTAGTCATGAGAAGTTCCTTACCTCCATGCTTGTCTCTAGCCATTGAACTGTCAAGGATGTCACCAACCCTGACGTTAATCAGAAACTAGCAGACTGGACATTATTGGTAAACCTCGCTGGTGATGGAGAACGGATGATATAGTTGTCCGCGAACGCGGGCTCGACTTATCATTTCACTTTATAATGCCCTCTGGATGTCCACGAATTTCACCGACATACGATTATGGACCGGATATTTCCATAGAACTACCCGGACTACAGCGTCTAGTGCGACCTAGCTGGTCATAAAAAGAATAGGTTTTTTGGTTGCAGAAGAGTTTGGTAAACAATTGGTGGATTTACTGCTTGGTAACGGTCCACCTTTCACACAAAAGTTTCCTCAGGCTAGATGAGCGAGTTAGTTAAACCTTATTCCAAACGGAGAGCGAGTCAGAGATATTCTCCAACCGGAAGAGCAAGTCACTGTTAAGTATGGATAAAAGATCTGTTGGTTAGTTTGGGTTACTACGTCCCACGACCGATAGGTTAGGGTGCGAAGTCTAACATGTAACAATTTGAATCGTGTTAGGGCCTTGTTCTCTTGGTTCAGAAAATCTCAGCTGAGGACCTATAACCAGCACAACGTCTCTTTCCCTTACGAAAACTTCAGCCGTCTTCCCAATTCATCTCGTGTTGAGTGTTCATATTAGTTTCTGCCTAATCACACTGACATTTCTGTTGATAGATGTTCTTCACACAGTGGACTATTGGGGGTTACCATGTATTCGTGTTTTCCGGTCTCGGAGTATTTATGTCCTGATCGATTCAGGGGTGACTTTTGACAAGAATTCTTGTCAACTTGTTCACACTTTTAGAGTATTTTGTTAATGACATAATTTTGTGGTTAATTTCCATTTAGATCAAACGATTGCTTGCTGGCCCTGTTCGTCGCAGCCTATTCTGTTTGGTGATCAGAGCAAACAAGATCCCAGCGGCTAAACGCTCACAATGGATGAAACGAATGAAGGACGCACACGTGAGCGTTCTGCTCGTACACCACCTGGTTGATTCGTACCGATCCATCCCTGCCTCGCGTGAACGAGTGTCTCTGGCTAAAAAGCTGTTAGAAAATGATCAGTTATTTTGGTTGGCCCTTGATCACGCTCTGAAAACTCCCTCAACATCTGTACTTCTCCAGCAAACAAGGAAAGTGGCTGACTTGCACTTTGTGAGTATAATCACACGATTGCTGAGCGCAGACATTTTACTCCGATTTTGTGCCTTTAAGCTTGTTTTTAGCAGTTCTTTGAACTTTTGTACTGTAGTTGCACCACACAATCTCGCCTTGATGGCAACTTCTATCCTGGAAGAGATAAATTTTGCTAGGGTCTCTAGAAAGTCCTCCCAGACGGGCACATTTGTGTAAACCAGTCTCATCCATGTTGGGAGTACACTGTTCCTGGTATGAGTACAAACGTGACGGCCATTGGGTATCTTTTTAGCGCATTTCTGGAAAGACCGATTATTTTTGAAGCAGCTTTTTCCCGTAGCAAGCTTGGACGGAGCGCAAAATATTGTGATGCTGCAAAACTGTCCGGATCTCTGTAGTACTGTCTTTTCCCCTGAGAGGCCAGTGCGCCAATCATCGCCGTAGACGGACCTTGAAGTTCCAGGCTTGCGTTGAACGTTTAAGCTTATCGTCCAAGTTGGCTGGCAGTCCGAACTGAAGGTACCAGGTGGCCAACTGGAAGTATTGAACCCAATGGTCCAAACGTTCTCCTTTGTGGAATACCAGGGAGCCCTTCTGGTCCCCGATAGCTTCGCTGACTGAAGTCTTCTGAGAACCAGGCGAACGAATCAAGTATAGCAGCCTGTGGACGTTTCTAGCGTTTTTGTGTCTTCCATTTCTTGGGTTTATCGGGTTGTTTTTAATCAGGAGTCTGGTTGAATGGTGGCTGCGGTTCGGAGAAATCTTTCACTGGGCCATCAGGAAAGCCACGGTCTTATCAACGATGCGATGTTTGGATGAGCCTAGTTGGGTTGCACTTCAACCGGAAGTCCCGGCTGTGAGCAGCACTGTCAATATCTGTTCCCAGTGACCAATAATACCCGACACAGGACCGTTTGGGAGACGTTTGAGGAGCAGATTTTGGAATTTTCATTTGATTTTTGCGTTTATTTGCTTCTCAATGGCTGAGCGAGGTGTGAGGGTTTTCCGTGTATCTGAAAAACAGTGAAAAGCAGCAGCCCACCAGTGCATGGTCGGAGTCCACACCGGTGTTCCAGAATGAATGGAATGCGCTTGTGAGGAAGGCGAACGAAAAATACATATTTTACGTAGATTTCTGGCGAATGAATTGATTGAGCCGGACTGTGGATGTCCCTTAGGTTGTGGAGATCTTCGATTAGCTCAAGCAGTCGCGATATTTCAAGGTGTTTGACTTGCGTTCCGGATACTGGCAACTAGCTGTCAGGTCAGAGGACCGGGAGAAAACGGCGTTCATGGTTGGGGACAACAAATGTCAATTTAGACGAAGGCCGTTTAGCCTGTCGGGGGCACCGTTCATGTTCAGACGCTTGATGCTTCGTTTAACGAGGGGACTACAGAATGTTGCCGTGTGCAGAGACAAATTGCGGTTCAATTGAATGCCGTATTGAAGCATATTCGGGAGGTTGGCCAGTGGATAAATGAGGCTAACACAATTCGCTCGAAGTTCGGTGACACCGCTCTGACATAAGGTGAGTCACGGAGAGGTAGGCCCACTTCCAGGAAAATTGGGAAAGTTCAAGGACTATGCAGTTCCCAATTCGAAGCGGTCCCTACGGCAGTTTCTCGGACGAGCATCATACTATAACCCGTTTGTCAAGGATTTCAACATGATTTCTGCCCTACTGTACGACTTGCCTGGGCAAAATCGGAAATTCGATTGGACAAGAAAAGCACATGAGGCTTCCGAGCATGTCAACGCGCGGGTGCTGGATCAGAAACTGACCCTAAAACTGATCGGGGAGGTGCTGGATCAGAAACTGACCCTAAAACTGTCCATGATCGGGGAAATGTTTACTGTTGCATCGGTCGCTAGTGATCGCGGTGCATTCCCAAAGCAGACGAATGGAGTCATCGAGAATGTGAATCGTGTCCTGCCTAAGATTGAGCAGAATTACTCAACCATTGAAAAAAAATGTTTAGCGATCGTCTGGGTCCTGGTAGGTGGAGACCATACTTGCTTGGATACAGATTCCACGTTTAGACTGACCCCTCGAATGGATCAAGATCACTGGAGATCCTCGTGGAAAGCTCGCGCACTGGGCGCTTCGGTTACAAGCGTTCGACCTCACGATCCGGTACGTGTCAGAGAAGGAAGGCCACCTGACTGATTGGCTGTCAAGACCGGAGGCTGAAGCTGAGGCCCCAAGATCATGATTGGGGTCAATAGCCTCGTCATCGAACTGGATCCCGAAAGGTTGGTGCAACTTCAAAGGCAGGATCTTGGAAGGATGGTGCAACTAGTGCGGTAAGATCCTGTATTGCGGAAGGTTGCAGCATCCTTGCTGGGTGGAAGGATTATTGGGAACGGGGACGGAGACATAACTAGAGACGTTCCAGAGTCACTTTGACAGGCTGAGTTTGAGTGAAACTGCCATAATATCCTGTGACGCCACCGATTCTGAATCTGTGCTGCTCGTGATACTTCACGTCTTCATACGGAAGCTGATCGTCGAATTACAGAGTGCACCAGGACTTCGTCAGAGGGCCTACTGACCCCGAATGAGAAGTGAGGTGATGGATTATGTGGTGGCCAGTAAGCGATGCCAGCTGATTAAAAGGGGATATGGCAGGGGCCACTCACGTCGTGCAACCCATCCTTGTATCACAGGTTGGCGAGTTATGGTCCGTTGACGTCATGGGCCCCTTTCCGGTGACAACCTGCGGAAATCAATGTATCGGACTAACCACAGGGTGCCAAAAAATCATCCTAACGGATCACGGTTCTTGCTTTTCGAGCAAAGAGTTTGGGAATTGCTTGCAGAAGCTGGGCATCAGACGGCTACGGACGGCCTAACCGAACGATTGAGGAATGGCTGTCGGCCAAATGAGGTGACTGGAAAATGAAATTGCTGATGGTGTTGTTAGCACATCGTGCGTCGATACAACCAACCACAATCAATCCCCTATCCATGCTGATGTACCGTCGACATTCGAGCCTTCCAGTTGATCAGGAAATTGGGTTGTGGCCGACAATACGCTTGTCTCAATACAACCAACCACAATCAATCCCCTATCCATGCTGATGTACCGTCGACATTCGAGCCTTCCAGTTGATCAGGAAATTGGGTTGTGGCCGACAATACGCTTGTCTCAGGAGGAGCTGGGAAAGGAGGAAAGCTCGAGAAAAATTGACCGCCGTTCAAGAAAAAACTAGATAGAAAACGGCAAATAGAAAGCCACTACCGTTTCAGATAGGTGCGAAGGTTAAGTGAAAGGATCATCAGAATCCCAGAAGGAGTGGACTGAGGTTACGGAAGCTGGGTAGTCGGTGGCAAAGCCCGTTTGTCGCTAACGACCGTCGGAGAACGTCTATACACCTCACGGCGGTCGAGGATGGAAAAGGGTAGACGATTCTCAGCTTCGAAAGTGACATGATACACCCGAAGAGCTACAGGATGGACCAGCTGTTGGGCCGACAAAGGCAAACGGAAATCGGTGGTATGTAGACGAGCTTTGAAGGGGAAAGTTGTGTAGTGTCGTGTACTACTGATGAGGCACGCTAGTAGTCTGGTCGTTTCGAAGCTCCGCCCCGCATCTAATGAAAGATGTAGTTTATTTCGGAACCTTTGGAACAGCTTTGCAGTGTTCGTTCACAATTGTGTGGTAGTCAATGAATATCTGTGAAAGTTCCAGAAGACACATGAGAAAGCTCAGTTTTCGAAAACTGCATATGAGACGCCTGCTTTCATGGCTAATAGCCTGTAACTGCTTAGTTTGCTGATAAACGACTTCGCAGCGAAGGATTTGCCTCCTTTCACGGGTTGATATTTGCCTCTGCGAAACGCGTCTTGCAACTTCCGCTCGATAGCTCATTACAATAACCACCATATCCAGCTGCAGCAACCTCTGCACCGTAAGAGTTGCGCAGCCAGAACCCAGAAGAGAGCGAGGGGCAGTCAGTTCAGACACAGTGCTTGCATACTCTATCTCTGTTTATGACAAAACGATACATCGATGCAGAGGGAATCCAGCGTATGTGCAAGAGCCCCCTGTTATCAGTGCGCGGGCATTAAGGGCGGCGAAGTAAACAGACTTTCGGTGTTTGAAAACAGATTTCGAAGTGTTTCAGGCTGTCACTGAGGTTGGATGTACAGAAGGTGCAGCTGAGAATGATGCACGGTGAACAGAGCGGTCAGTCCATGTGCTGGGACCTGTGGATGACGATGTGGCATGAGATTATTTTTTAATTGTAAGTGCCACGGTTGTACGTGGGGTGGGATGCTTCCAGGGCGCCCTGACCTAGACTGGAGGACGATTAGTCAGTCAGTCAGTTCTCCCCATCGACAGAAACATCCCAGCAGAAAATGCTAGCAACTAAATGCCATATACTCATCGAAGAAGAACGAACTCACGGACTCCAACTAGAACGACGGGCACACTCAAGCCAGACACCGGCTGAGCGATTGAAGCACTCTCTCCACGAGGCACCCGCCATGTCCTGTTTAGTTTTTAATCGGATGCAAGCATGACAACGCGTCGCAAACCAGAAAGGTACCGTGGAAATACCAGGACATTCAGTTTGGCTTTAGCGACTTTCATTCTACAATTTCATGTTGTGTTGAGCTTTTTCCACCAAGCGGTTGGAATGGAAAGCAGCGATTTATCTGATGGGCGAGGGTTAGGCCTGCGGTACTACATGTCTCACTCACAGTCCGATAAGATTTATATGTTATCAGAGATTGTAATTCGTGGTTACCCTATCAGAAACACCCATTTTAAATCATCTTGTTTTATGTTAACTAATTGGATTCTGCCGGGTTGCAGATGCTTCGCTCTCATGGATGGCCGTACCTGAAGATTATTATACAATCTATGCTGAAAAGCCGAGAAGTACTGTACAGTTGTTTCATCCTTATTGGGAATCATCAGCAGTGCGCACCCCGCGAAACTCCGGACAGTCTCGAACCCGCGACCTCCCGGCTAGTAGTTTGAACACTAAACCGTTCGGCCACGAGTGGCTGATCAGCAGTGTGATTGACTCGCACTTAGACAGGATATAGCGCCGCTCATCCTTCAATGAGCCAGTCAACATGTGTGACCGCGTGATGTGGATCCCGTGATTGAAGGATGAGCGGCGCTATATCCTGTCTAAGTGCGAGTTATTCACACTGCTGATCAGCCACTCGTGGCCGAACGGTTAAGTGTTCAAACTACTAGCCGGGAGGTCGCAGGTTCGAGACTCTTCGGAGTTTCGTGAGATGCGCACTGCTGATGATTCCCAATAAGGATGAAACAGCTGTACAGTGCTTCTCGGCTTTTCAGCATAGATTGGCTTCACTTACAGGACGAAATGTCCACAAAATCCCAAATCTCCTCACACTACCAACAATTATTATACAAGTTCATCGTACGCACTAGTATGTCTCATTCACGAATGTGCAAGAGCAGTGAACGCCTGGTACCTCTACCCTAACTCTCTAAGTAATTTTAGCACTCACCAAAAATGGTCAGAATGTCGTTAGCTCGTTTAGGAAAGCACAGTGTGGCTCTTACCCTTGCCACAAAAAATCGTTCAGCTGTAGCACCCTTTCGGTGCCTAACTGCTATGCCACCCGGATGAAGCACGAGGGCTGGGATACTGCCAGGTCGCCCAAGCCTAGACAGGGGAAGTCGAATGGCAGAGGTCGGGTTCGAACCACGGGCCTTCCGGTCGGTAAATTCGCGCTCTATTCACTTGGGCCATCTCGCCCCCTTGTCACAAGGAAGATTCCGCTGAGGAGCGTTTCTGTATCCGCCCGGAAGTTTTTGCATCGAAAGAGATGTGCTGAGTTGGATTTCAGCTACTGTAAATTTGTCAACGAGGTAATGAGCCAACTTCAGTTGCAATTACCATTGAGAGAATTGTACTACAGTGGCCTATTTTGGGAAGGAATTCTGTGAGACACATAAATTTAAAGGTTAAATGAATTTCTCATCTTTGATATTCTTCAGCTGAATGTACTTGTTTAATTACTTAGGGTTTGGTGTTCAGCTAGAACATAAGGTTGATGGGAACGCAAGTTCTACACCTATGTGCTGAGCCCCAACAAGCGGGGGACCGGTAGCGAGCCGACGAGTTTTCAGCAACTTTGCGGGTGGTCTTGTATGAGGAAAATTCATAGGTCATTATATCTGAAGGCATAATAATTTGTTTACCAGTGTTTTCTTATGTCGTGGTTCTTTTACGGCATTTCGATTGTCCCGTTTTGACTGCAGTTGGCACCTTCCATTGCTCGCTGCATGATTCGGATCGAGGAAGGAAGCCCGTCTGCTAAGCATCTGAAGCAGCTGATGGAGACAAAAACACCCGCTAGTATGAAAACTCCGAAGTCTACTACGGAACAAGCTGGATCTCCATCTTCCTCCAGTCGTTTAGACCAGGGGTTGACTTGTGAGGATAAGCTGGCTTTTTCCAAAATCACCCAACGGATTGATGGATCCATTTCTTCAGATCAGGTTCCACTGTTCCGCAGAGTCAAGCTCTTTCACATCAAGCGTTTGTTGCACATGTACGGACGACGGCGGCGTATTCGTGGAAACGCATATGCGCTCGCTTCTACCAGATGGACAAACAAAGCCACCGCATTGACTGTGAGTCTCTTTTTCGGGTCAGTTCTGGTATACTTCACGGTAGGGTAGAACCTCGTTACTGCAATCTCTTCGGGGCCATTATGGAGCTTTACAGAAAGGTTTGCCCGGAACAACCAGGGCGCTCGGGCAACCGGACAATCACATTTTAAAAGGACCTCATTAAGTCATCTAAGAGAGAAACAACCGCCGTAGTACTCTCACTGATACACATTTAGGAAAAACAATCCTATTCGGCGATAATAGGAGGCCGACCGTATATCAAAGGGTGGTCGCTTTGGTCAGCTATACGATCCCTCTTGATAGGTAGTCGATCAGGTGGCTTTTAATTTGTTCGCCGAGCTTGGCGATTGATTTACAGACGTTTCGTCACCATTCGAGGAGACATCATCGAACGGTGACGAAACATTTGTAAGTCAGTTGCCACACTCGGCGTACAAATCAGCGGCCATCTGATCAACTACCAACAAATGCACCGGAGCTAACAATATTCCAGCACAATTCTGTTGGAGTTTAGTCGTTCCAATAAGGTTTGTCAGATAAACGGGCTGTTTTATTAGGAAAACAACCCCCATTTTTGTACACATCGAAGCTCTACTGTTAATTTGTGTGGGACAGGTAGTGTTTCACCCTAGTCACTTGCTGCACTTGGTTCCAGCTTTACCTGCTGTTCTCGATCGCCTCTTTCCGGTGACGGGTCGTCCGGACTTACTGAGACTTCACATCGTTTAGGCTTATGAAGGGCGGAAAGTTACGAGTCAACGCCGTAGCGTATTGGCCAATCAGACTCAAGAGGCTTTGGCTTGTCTCATCAAGAGATGTCCAGAGGACCACACAAGGGCATGTTCTGATTAGTCAGATGTGACTAAGCTAGAATCGAGCATTCTAGCTCGGCGTTTCTTGCCTCATCACGAAGTTCCTAACCTGATCTTATGGGCAGTTTCATGATAAACTTATAAATGTAGTTGTAACAGTTTTCCTTTGTCTCCGCAATATGTTGTCTCCAGCTACCCTGTCTTTTGGTATACCACAGTGGGTGGAACAGGAAACCAAGGAGTTGCAGTACCGACTGCGAGAATTTATACGAGAGTGTTGTTCCAAACGTGAAGTTATTGTCTCACTACAGGCCGTTGGTCCAAGGGTACGGCACCTTTTGATGCGCACTGGTTAGTGAAACAGCAGACCACAAATCAGTTTTGAGTTGCTCGGCCGTAGCAATTCCCCTTTAAAGAATTTTACCACGCTTTTGCTACTTTTTAACTGGCGCTGGGACAATAGTTTTGAACACTGAAATGCTCGATTGTCCTTGCTTTTTCTCCTGCGTGCTTCTAACTCTGGTGACTCATCTTCTTCAATGTAGGATGTAAATCGTTTGAACAGACCCGACCATTACGCGCCTCCCATATTGCAGTACCTTCCTCCTAAGTTTAGCACTCGGGTGTTCTTCAATCCAACCATCATCAGTGAACATTGTCTCGGTGCTGCACAAGGCTGCATCCGTCACGGTTTGAACATAAAGGAGGTTCGTAATAGTTTTTCGAATGAGTTCGCTGATGTTGCTGGTACACAATCGATACCTGGTCCCTCAAGTGCTGCTGCAGTAAAAATGACACCGGACAAATCTCTGGCAAAAATGTTGCCACCCAGCTACTCCACATTGTTCGCGTTCAAAAGTTTGATTCTCCGGCTGCCACAGATTCTTCAGAAAGGTGGACATTACGCTTCTCAAATGGCGTCAATCCGGTAAGTTTGTCCGGCGTTTCACATTATCCAACTGAGGTCCACGCCTTTGATAGTTTGCAGAATACTTTGCAGCCCAAGTTCCACGATTCTTGCTTCGGTGCCCCTATCACAAACATGTTTTTTGGTAAAAGTTAGTGTGGATTCAGTAAACTCCGGTTCAGAACATGTTTAAATTGCATCGTTTTTGAAGGATTTCCCTGTAAACACATAAACTCTTTAACATAAATGTATGTAACCGGATGAATCACCGATTTATACAGAAATTCGTGCTGGAAGCTCACACCAGTCTTCGAACGTCGTGTATTGAACTTATTTTTGAACCCTCTTCATAACTCCTTGGCACAAGACAAGCGATACGTCAAGACAAGCGATACTGTCCCTAATATAACCATGCGGTCAATCATTTGCTCCGACCCACCTCTCAACCCTGGAGTCACTGTGCATTTTCCCAGAAAGCCTTGCTTTTCCACTTCTGGTTGTTCTCGACTTTCAACCTTTTAGCTTAGGCATCAACTAAAGCCGAATTTTATTTGGTGCGACTGGGCACTTAAAATGAGCGTCGACTGAATCTCCTGATTAGTATGTTCTTCAACAGACTGCGCAGCACAAACGCTGCGTCACGGTGTAGTTCGGGCGGTGTTCAAGATATCCAGGGACTTTTTCCCTTTCAAGATCAATCGACTGCATGTCACAGACACTCCACAACCGTTTTCGTTCCGTGTATGGCTCCTCAGACGAGCGTAATACCGAACTTTCAACACTCATTTTGCATTTGGACAGTCAATAGCGTATACGCTGAGAACCCATCGCCAAGCTCAGCTGAGTTTTCAAGTGATTGATTTATTGAACATGGATGGGTTTCGCTCTGAAGCTTATATGCATTTCGACAGACCTAGATTAGGCGCACGTTTTCGTCGAAGAGTAAAGTAACGTGACAGCATGCCTTATCACATGTTCATTTCATTCGATCATGCACCAGTATCCTATCAAACAATCCGGTCTACTCACCCAGTTTCTTGGCAAGTAATGCATATGAAATCCGACCGAGACTTTACATGCATTTCGATGTGATTAGAAAGTGATTGGTGTCGGTGAATATACCGTGTTCGGAATGCTAGCAGCTTACTTCTCGTGCGAAAAAATTCCCCAATTTTACTGTAATACGGACGTGAGGTAAAGCTAAATCATAAAATCAGCAGGTTTATTTATTCACACGGCTGAAGATACCACCGAAGAAGAGAACGTCGCGGAAAAAGTTTGGTTTTCTCGCTTTTTCTGTCTCCATTTCACTAATCGTTTGTATGAAATTGGTTGCAATCGAGTACGTAACCAGTTAAATTTAGATATTCATATGTTCATTGGGAGGGTGTGAAGGGTTTCCGTGTTTTGGTGACCTGAAATACCAACACATCGCATCTGGGAGAGAAAAAAGATCACAAACCAATACAAATTGGGCAAGTTTCTTTCGAACTTTATGACTGGGGTACAACACACTTCTGTGGCCGTCCTCTTCGTTTGGGTGTGTGGGCAGTTCCCTCTTCACCAGTTTGATAATGACAGATTTTATTTCGTTTTGTGTCCCACTTGCTTATTTAACGCGCCAAACCCCAGGGACTCCAAACCCAAATTACCCTATTCGTGACGCCTGACTATTTTCATGTACAGTTTCAGTGTAATAACCTGACAGGCAATTGTGGGAAACGATTTCGCGTCGTTCTTCGACTAGGTGAGAATTTTGATTAGGTAATAAGGAGCGCACTATCTATGTTCATTAGGCTGTGGGAAATTTCATTCGGAAGATGGATTGAGCGTTAAACTCGAGCTTAGAATGGTATGGCGCTGGCGCTCCAATGTGTTACACAGTCTTGCAACCATTGTCTCCGGTGAACTCCGCTGTAACAGCTCGAGCCATTGGGGAGTTGAACTGGACTTGTTATTGATAGTGCGGCACAGTACCATCTGTGACCCGGCTTTATTCAACTCACTATATCTTATTACTACAAAATTTACTAAAATTCCTCATCCTCTTTTTATTTTGTCTGCCAGTGAGATACTCCAGAACAGGCTACCTCCCGGGAACGAGTGTGACAATCCTGCCGAAAGTAAGCATCACTGCCTTTATAGGTTTAATCCCGTATTCGTTGCAGTTGCACAGATCGGCGAACAAACCAGCAGCTAGTTTAATGCACTGAACAGACTACACCACTGCTCAAACCAGCGTATTAGTCGAGCGTGCGTTCCGAACCCGAAGTTGAGTGGTTCGAGCCAACGTCCCATCTAGGTTTAGGCGATCTTACAGTACCCCCACCCTCATGCTTCTTAACCGAACCTGTGTGCCCTTCGTTCGTTAGTTGATTGCATACCTCCAGGTCCACGCCGAATCACAAGTTGTTCGGATGGCTGCACGTGCTATTTAACACAATCCAGCTGACAGAATCACATGCATGGGTTTGGCTATAGGTAGGTACAGGCGGGGAACCGATGCTTGCTCACAATGTACCGTGTTCGCACGTCAGTCATTATTGTTAGCAAGTTCCTGGTTTCTGCGCCCGACTTTCCCCCTGCCAGCTTTCGTTGGATAGGGTTCCCCAGTTCTCAAAATAACTTCACGATATGTTCGTTTTTCTTCATGTTTGACGAGTGTCGAAGTGATGGTGTGCTTGGCCCATGTAAATAGTCAGGCCATTATCGCTAACTTTTCACATTTCTTACGGGGTAGTATCCTCTGCCTCCCCCTTTTACTTACAACAAAAAGGCAATAGATTGGAAATATGAGCAACTCCACAACGCAAGTATGGCAATGCAAAGGAGGCTCCAATCGGGGTATGGAAATCATTTGGTGCAGTTCGAACAAAGATGTCATTTTTGGCCATTTGAATTAATGTGCCACTGATTTTTTGATGATCTATATTAGTTATCCTCCAAAGATGAACCGAGAAAATACCGGGTTGCAGAATCTTTAGACAGCCACTGCACACTGTTGACATCTGTGAGAAACAGTTCATCATATCCCTGATTCTACAGCTTATTTGGGTAGTGCAAAAGGGGAAAAGGGACGGATGGAAACTACCTGACTGTAGTTTCCATTATCCTTATTTCCGGTTGGCCGCGCAGCTTGAAGTTGCTTTGCAGTCCATCGAATGCAAATACCTAGAACTACAGACCCAAGTATTTTAACAAAAACGGGGCGAGATGGTCCAAGTGGTTAGAGCGCGAATTTACTAACCAGAAGGTCCGTGGTTCGAATCTAACCTCAGCCTCTCGACTTCCCCTGTCTAGGTTTGGGCGACCTGGCAGTATCCCATACCTCCTGCTTCCTTCGGGTGGCATGGCAGCTAGGCGCCGAAAAAGTGCTACAGCTAAACGCCTTTTTTTTAACAAAAACGTCTCGTTCAGGCCTCCATCGTATAGAAGCCCTGTTGACTATAATTCCCGCGGCGTTTGACTGCATTTCAAACTTGATTGGCCTTCTAATGCATCACAACCCCACTCCATTCACCCCCTTTAGTACGGAAAGAGCGGATGATGACATCTGCCTAGTCTTCCTAGTTTTTGAGGTATTGTAAACCGTTACTCTGCCATGTGCATTCTTGGTTGGCTCCCATCACCATTCTTCTGTCCACTGCACATTATTACAGGCTTCGTGAAACCCACCGACTGATGAGTGGTAGCGCGATCCTGAGATAAACAGTCTGAAACTACTAACCAGAAGATTACGTAACCGCAGTCAGCATAGCTTTTCGAGATCTGACCACATCTTTCTTGATATATGGCGCAAGTCTGAAGTTGTGGAATATAGATGGCCTGCTTGCGCTGCTTGGTTGTTTGTCTATTTGCCGAGCTTGGCATTTGGATTGCAAAATTTTCATCACCGATCGAGGTAACATTCTGGCGATGAAACGTTTGCAATCGGACTACAAAGCCCGGCGAGCAGACCAACAACCAAACAGTTTTGAAATTTAGATTTATTTGGGCTGAATTTGGGTGTCTAGCAGTCATACCGTGCGGCAGAAAAACATCAGGATGGCGATTTGAAGGGAAACACTCATCCCGTTAGGTTTTTTTAGCACTAGGGTATGTTCTTCTGATTATAGTGTCTTTCAACCGTCTTTTTTTCCAGCTTCTATCGACTCTGACCTTACAGAGTCTTTGAGCACATACGACGCTAGTATTCTACCTGTCGTTCAGTCCGATGCCCATCGTCGATTCCTCGCTGTCGGTTTATCCATTCTTCTCTGGCCAACCCTATTAAGCACACTGTCCGCCTCAAGTGTTGTACAGTCTGGTAAACGGTTTTGGGAAGAAGCGCTGTAAGTACGATATCTCAAGTTTCCATATTTTCCTGAGAATCACTGCCCTGTTATTCATTTTACCCTCCTTTAACACCGGAACTCTTGGCCAAAATTATTCTGTTCACTTAAACCAGGTTGAATATAGTTCCAGAAATCAGCAAGGCTCAAACCGATTTTGCTTTCATCCAACATGGCCTCCAGTAAAGTA